ACCCTCCCACTCACAGTACTGATGTACTGGCCCTCACCATTACAAACTCTGACCCCCTCATCGACCTGGAGCCCTGCGCCTCCCGTGCCATGCCCCCTGGCCGGACCTGGTCCCACCCTCAGTGGGTTATTCCCCAAAACCACAACCCTAGTTCCAATCCAACCCTCCCCTCCCCAGAACCCCTTAAAAATTTAATTAAAAATTTGGATAGAAAACTCCTCAGCCTCCTTTTTACTGCATGCCACCTCTCGGGGTTCCAAAACATAAGATGGCCCCTATTCTTTCATTACAAAGACTGATATTTTTCTTTAGCTACTATGATTTGGCCTTTGAGATTCTGCTTGACCCAAGTACAGTACTTCCAAGGGAGATATTCTGCAGACACATCCCTGCCTTTCTACTAGCCTCTTCTTTCTCTTTGAAAAATAAACGAGGGATGCTGGCTATGAGCATCAGATCTGCACTGAGAACTGAAGAGTGCCTGAGTTCTTGATTATAAATAGATCAAGCATCTACATATCCAAATTATGTTTATCCATAAAAAATACTTGGACATGTTTATATTCCAGATACAGTACAATATGCAATCTTAAGAGTTCGCAAATGTATTTTCAAATTAGCAAGATTTGCTTTTCATATTATTTCATTAAGGAATACAGTATGACTCTGATAATACTTTATTTACATTAGCAAGATTCATTCATGTGTATGCTATCTGAACTGATAGTATGTGATATGGTTTGCAACACATTGCATTCAAAAGCAAAAATTCCATCCACTTTTTTGTGAGTGCTTCCACTTACGCTGCATTGTCACTCCACGGCTTTTTTAACACTTTATTTTAAAAGACCACTCTACAATTATATAGGAAGCTACTTTTGAGCTTTGAGTTGTCCTATGAATTGAGCAAAGCATAAATGATACAGGAACAAATCACTTAGCAATTACCTAGGAGTTAGAAATGGTTAGAGATGGTTCTCTGCTGCATGAGAAAACAATCCCAAAGCTAGCTACCGAAAGCATTTTTAATATAAAGAATATAAATTTCTACATATGCCTCTTTATTTTATTACAAGAGTTGCTTCTAGTATGGCACAAAAGGAAATCCAGGGAGACAGGTTAATGGACACTGAAGGTTGCTAATAAAAAGATTAAATCCCTGAGCTGTCAAACTTCTCTTCCTTAAGCACATGTTTATGCTTCAAGTCAAACAATCCAGTGTGGGTATTATTTTTTTTAACACATTTATTGAAGTTGGGCTACAGCCTGTTTTATATACCCAGAGTTTGCCATTAATATATTCATGCTGAATTTAGCAGATGCAGCCTTCTAGATTATCAATTTTCAAGAGAGAGAAAGTGACAATTGCTAAGTGGATAATTACTGAATTTTCATGGGTTAGAAGTTGTTATTGAATCCTCGCACTGTAAAAGAAGTTTAGTTACCCTAGAAATCTGGTTCTACATTTGACACATTTGCTTCTCCCTTGATTGGAAAGCTACAGTATGTAGAAAGGTGTACTTCTTAATATTGGTTTAAAATTGTGATTAACATTCTCCGAATTATCATTGTGTCGAAAGGATGTCATACATAGGATTATACAATTTTGCCAACAACATTTTGACTCATAATTTCCTAAAAAACTGGAAGAAATTTCTATCATAGACATAACTAGTTAGGCCTGGTAGGCTTAGTTAATGGCAAATGACAGCTTTGGTTCTTTGTCTTCCATTAAACTAAAAGGGCCCTTGCATCAATTTCAGCCATCCAAAGTAACACGACATCTCTTATCTGGCACACTCCAGATGTTTTGGACTACCATAGTTTTTTGAGGGAAGGGTTTTCACAGATATGAAAGGCACCATTTTAGAAAAGCTTCAATCCGCATAATCCTACGATTTGATTTGATTTGGTTTGACTTGATTTTAACAATAAAGATAAAATATTGAGAAGTCCTTGGTGCTCTGTGAGGTTTGTTGTTTTTTTTACCATTGTTTATCTTATCTAGTTTAGGTAATGAATCATCTGCAAGAAAACAACCAAGCTCAGAGAGCACCAAGGATCCCTCCTTTCAACCCTGAACTACAAACATTCTCCTTTATTAGATTAAATATTATATGATTATAATGGTTAAGTATAACCCCTCTTAATCACCAAGATAGATTCTAAAGAATTCAGGGCACTTCCACATAGCATCATTTCTATTCTCTATCTTTCCAAAGGGTTTTGAAATTGTCTTCACATCTGATTTTTTGGAAGCCCCAAATCATGGGGGAAAAACCCATCATGAATCAATCAGTACTCCCTCAAATAAGAGAGCGTAGAAATAACATTTAGTTAATATTCTGTCCCCTGAGCTATGGCAATCTTTGAGACAACAAAAATCTTTGTGTCATATTTCCACAGAGAAAAAGTAGAAATTAATTACTAATTCCCCATTTGTGTTTTCAGTATATGCTGTTTGGCCATTTGCAAACATTTCAGACTATTGGCATGTAAAGAATGTCATCTAGTGATCAAGATGACATTCTTCCTATCAAAACCTTGATGATGACTTGACACCACAGTTTTGCAGCAAAATATTTTTCCAACAACGACAATCCTGTCAATTGGTGGGCCAGTAGCAGCTTTATGGTTGTAGAAGAAGTTTGATGTACATTGCTTACACAGATATGTACACATTTTTTCTTTTTTGCTGTTAACTGTTGGATGTATGTTTTTTTTTCTGTTTTTGTGTGTGTGTATATTTTATTCTTACTGATAAAACATAATAAATATATACATGAAAAAAAGAAAAGGGTGGATTCTGCAACTGACTACTGCTTCTCTTTGACAAAGTATCTTATGAAATCTACTAAAGAATTCCAGATTTAATAGGGAAGGAGGGTGAATGGGAAAATGATTCACTTCCAAGTAAGTCCTTGAGCACCAGCACTGCAAATCACAAAACAGAACCTTTGTTATTTGAGGTGCATCATGCATAAACTGAAAAAAGTAGGCTTTGCTGCCCAAGAAAGAAAGCATCATGGAAACATGTGATCTTATTATGAGAGATTCTGTGTCTCAGCACATGTAAAAGAAGCCAAGCTGGAGAAAGCTGGGGACGGATCATGGTCTGATCATATCACCCATAATCACAACAACCAGAGGACAGCATGAAGGGTATAGATCCATGCAACCATGTTCACTCTCTTGATTTTGGAAGAAACATGCCATATAAAAAGCTACGCAAATATTGAAAAAGGGAAAAAGGAGAAAGAGACAAGCTCCTTCAATGAAGAGGAGGAAGTGATGTACTGTGGTTCTAAGGGCACACCTTGAGGCCTTTGCATCTCAGCATGTGGTTTTCTTTCTCTTGAAACCTATCTAACTCCATATGAAAGCAGATCATCATGTGCCTTGCCTAAATACCCACAATATTGCTTCCCTGACTCTGGAAAATTCTGGGCCTTTTGAGAGATAAACATCAATACTCTAGTGTAAATTCTTGCCTGCAGTTCATCTCTTTTTCCCTGTATTTCCCTGCCTTTTCTCTCTTTTTTTGTTTCTGTTCTTTTCTCCTCCCCCCCAACTGTTTTTAATATTGACTTATGCTTAATAAATGTTTAATAAAGAAATGTGACGCTATATTTTTGATAGCTGGACTGGCTGGATGTAGGGGTTGACTGGGAGTGTGCCAGATGGAAACCAAAGTGGAAATTATCTGTAGTAACTTTCCTACAATGAGGAGTTCTGCTACAAAATAGGGTTTGGTTGTGCTTGAGGTCTTTGGAACTATTTTCTCAATAAGTACAAGAGCCTGTTTGGTCTAATGGTTAAGACACCAGGTTAGAAACCAGAAGACTGTCAATTCTAATCCTGCTTTAGGCTTGAAAATCAGCTGCGTGACCTTGGACCAATCACTACCTCTCAGCCTAACCCATCTCACAGGTTGTGACTGAGGGAAAAATAGAAGAAGGAAGTGTGGATATGTTTACAGCCTTTAGTCTTTTGTAAAAATAATAAAAATACAAATACAACTAATACAAATAAATATTTTCATTTCAATTTTACTTTGATTTTCAATTTGCCTTGTATTCTGAGTTATGTGAAGTTCTGAAATTTGAGTATATTAGCCAGATTATCTAATCTGTACAGATTATACAACAAAGTATGTAGATTGCTACTAAATGTCATGAAGATAACATGAGATTTAGGGACCACAATGGAGTCTGTGCTTCTTCAGTTTGAAGGAAGAAAGCCAAACTATCAGCAAAAATACAAGAAAGGCATCTTCAAGTATTCAACAAATAGTTCTTCATCCTGTTTGTATTGGAGACATTCTGAAGTTTGGAAAGGATGTACAGAAAAGGAAACATTAATACATTTATGGTGGTATTGTAATATAGTCAGGGATGGGTTCTAAAATTTTTTACTACCAGTTCTGTGGGCATGGCTTATTTTGTGGGCGTGGCTTGATGGTCATGTGACAATTATTTAGGATTTAGCAGAGGTACTGGTCTACCAGGCTTTCAACTGCTTGCAGAGCTGTACCGATCTACTCATGTATTTTTGCAGGCACTGGTCTACCCATTTATTTTTGCAGGCACCGGTCTACTCATTTGTTTTCTTTTAACACTGATCAGCTGTAGGGCGGCACTTTGAAGCCCCGCGGCAAGAGTTTAAACAGTTCTTTTTCCCTCTAGCCATCAGCTGGGACTCAGGAGGCAGCAATAGATTGGGGGTGGGGCCAAATAAAAGGTAAGAATATTGCAGGAGGTGGGTGGGTGGGGCGGGGGGCAGGGGGCAGAACCGGTTCGGTGACATCATATCGTCACTGCTATCGGCTTGGCAGAACCGGGCGGAACCCACCACTGAATATAGTACAGAAATGTTGGTCTTAATAGATAAGACCAACTATTATGTTATCTAGATAATAGATAACATATTAATAAGATTAAGCAAACATTGCAACTGGGACTCTAACATGTTCATTAAAGAGAACATACATTTAAGAAGAAGGCTTTTATTAACAGCAGCAAGAATGGCAATACTGCAACATTGGCAACACTGAAACTCAGGTACATCAAATTATGATTCTACTCTATTTGAAAAAGAGAAATATAATGAAGAGGGTCCATTTTATGCAGACTTAATGATTTTAATCGCTTCAAGTATTTAAATAAAAGATCTCTCACCACCAAACAAATATTAGAAATTTTGGATAAATTAAAAATGAAATGTATTGGAAAAAAAATTGCATAACTCCCAAACCTATTTTATCAGAAATATATATGTGTATATTTGTATAAATACGTTTGAAAAAAAGTATTAACTTAAGTCCCTCAAAGATAATAAATACAATTTAACTGAAATGAATCAGAGATCCCCTAATTTTTGTTAACACATAGATAGATGTAAGGTATTTGGAGATAGGATTTTTTCCTTTCTAATATTGAACATTGTGTCTAATTACAAGAGAGAGAGAGTTTACTTTTAATATTGTGTTCTACCTACAAGTAGTCTTGATCCTGGAACTAGCCAGATCTATTCTTCAAATATGTAAAGTTCTTTCCCTTTCATAGAGTTTGTTAAATAGCAAAATCAGCAATATATTTTAGGAGGTGTCTGTAGTCTTGTTGGCTGCTTGACAGTCAAATCACAAGGATTTCCCTCTGGTAAGAAACACAGAGCTCTTTCTGTTTTAAGAGTGGAATGTAGTAGCAAATCACTGCACAGTGCTCCATAAGAATACCAGCTCCCCTTATAAACTTTTTATAGCTGGAGAAAATAAACATGTGGTTTCAGAGCTCCACATAGCCAATGGTTGTTAGAATTAGCTTTTGCAGAAGAAGAAAATATTAGAAAGGAAGGCCACCAGATGGATGAGGCAGCCAAACACCTAAATTAGAAAATGCCCAGGAGCTGTCTGAAGTATTTCTAATGAATTTGCTTCATGATCATGCTCTGTCTGTTCTTTTGATAAAGGAACATGATCGTCTTAACAATTTTGATCAAATTGTCTAACATTATCTTTGTTCCCTAATCCAGCTTTCTGATAAACCAATGATCTACCAATTAAACTATTTTATTGACTCAGACTACAAACTGGTTAGAAATGTTTTGATGAAGAAAGGAAAATGCTACTATAACAAATTATAGTAGCTCAAAGCATACATTCCGGCAGAGAGAAGTTCCCTGAGGATGGGCTCCAGCACGAGTCCAAAAGCTTGGAAGACAGAACCTCTGGTCCCGGTGACCAACCATATTGGATCTTGCAACATTATCCTGGGACATGTATATTTGCATTCATTTATGTAGTAGTTCTGTCATGTGGGGTAAAACAACTATTTTGGTGAATTGCATGCAAAGAATCAAGCTATGAGCTCTAATCAGTGCATAAAGTTTTCTCTTTAAGCCTCAATGTACTCCTCTGGTTTCCCCGGCTGAACTGTGTTCAGATTAGCAAAAGTGAGTCAAGGACAAAACTACTGGTTCCAATTATGAGAACTTTATTGTTCAACCCAGCTATTATGGCAACAAAATAAAAGCAAAGAAAAACCATTTCATAACTGTTCCAAGATATACAGACAGACAATTCAAAAATACCGATTCTAAATAATGACTAACTAAATTCTCATATTGGCATGGAAAACTATTGCTAATGGATCCAACATTTTTTCTCCTGATTTTCTTACCTGCCAAGAAAAGAAAGCTATGTTACTTTAGGAAAGAAGACTGAGGTGTTATCCTTAAAAAGAAAGTTGGTTATTGCAAGTAACTAAGGGCTGGACTGGGAAAAAAAACCAAATATTTTTCATTGCTCACAACTATTGCATACCCAATGGAAGATTATCAGAAACTGCTGAATTGTTTAATGCAGGTTTCACTTTTGTTGGGTATTTGGTGTTTGAGCTTTCTTCTCTTCCTGCAGACCTTTCATTCCCAGGCTAGGTAACATCATCAGTACTTGGAGGAGTGGAGTTTGCTGGCTACTTATATGAGCTAGCCAAACTGATTAGCTTTGATTGGGGTATCGTTTGGGCAAGATCCTAATGGATTTTTAGTAAGGCATTGTTTTTCTTTCTCTTTTTCCAAGTAATTTTAAATCCTACCCAAAATATATATCTGAGTTTGATATCCTAAGATTTGCTGGATAAGGACAATACGTTTCCAAATAAAACCTCTACACAGGAAAAGTCTAACCTACCTTCATTTTGAAGTATTTGCTTTTATGTTATTAATAAAATATTGTAAGGATAAGAAATACATAAAACAGATACATTAAACATATCATTCAAACATTAAGATACATAAAAAGCATACAGTACTGAATTCCAGACATTATTTCTTCTCTATTTTAAGAGGGTTTGTTGAAACACCTAATTTACTACTCTAAACATCAGCCTTTATATAGTCAAATGGAATTTCTTATCAGCTTATATATCTTTAATTATCAACCTACCTGTCTTTAATTATTAGCCTATTAAATCAAAAAGTCATCAGAGGGGTTTTTTCTTTTGCTCAAGGCAATTTTCCTCCCTTTTGAGCCAAACAAATGAAATTTATGGCAAAAAGTGATGACCTTTTGCCCCTATTATTTTGTATAGCCCTCTCAGCAAGAAAGGGTGATTTTACCTTTTAGTTGCTCTTAGCTCTTACAAACATTTCCTTCCTGTCTTCCTACTTTTTGTTTTTGTTTCTAGTCTCAAAGTTTGCACATTTTTGTATCTTTATCCTAAGGTGTCTAAAACTACAAAGGCAGATCTATTCCCCTTTTTGTTCTTATAACATCAATTCAGTCAGCGATGTCTTAAAACCAGAAGTCTTGGAAGATGGGGATTTTCTTTCTTATCCCTTTGTTTCAGATCTGTCTCAGTGTCATGATTGGTAATCAGCTTAATGGCTGAGCTGATGACCTAAATAAGTGAAATTGAGGCCACTTGAATTTCCAATGTCAATTCTGAGTATCCAGAGACTATATATATCTGCTTTTTTGGAAGAAAAGAGAGAGTAGAAAGCTTTCCTGAACAGGATAAACTCTATTTAGATGAACATGTATATGTTAGAATCTGCGGACAGCTATGGAGAACCTCACTGAGCATAGCAATAATCCCCCAGTACCACTTGCTCATTCAAGATGGAGAAAAATCATTATCCTCTTACTTAAGTTACATAGCCAAAAGAAGCCCACTGAAAATCTGAAAATTATTGAAACATCCAAGAAAGCCAACTGACTTGCATATGATATCTCACAGGGCAATCAGGACTGGTATCTTCTAGGGCCGTGATGGCGAACCTATGGCACGGGTGCCACAGGTGGCACATGGAGCCATATCAGTGGGCGTTGCCGTAGCTCAGCTCCAGCATGTATCTGTGTGCCAGCCAGCTGATTTTTGGGCCTTTTGGTCCCACCAGAAGTTGGGAAATGGGCTGTTTCCGGCTTCCGGAGGGCCTCCAGAAGGGTGAGGAAGGTCATTTTCGCCCTCCCAAGGCTCCTAGAAACCGTCTGGCGCCTGGGGAGGGTGAAAAACAGACCTACCGGGCCCACCGGGCCATCACGTGCTAAAAGTGGGGAGGGGACACGTGCACATGTGCAGGGGTGGGGTGCATTGAATTATGGGTGTGGGCACACACTTGGGCGACCTCCCCATGCTCCCCCCGCTTTTGGCACGCGATGGCAAAAAGGTTAGCCATCACTGTTCTAGGGTAATCATATATAGGTTGCAAAAACCCGGATTACATATAGGTGGCAGCAAAGAGATTTAGGAAATTTGTACCCTTTGCCATCTGTGATACAGCTCTATATAATTGTCCAGCTTTCCCAATACAAAGTAGAAGAAGCAAAATATAATGCAGGCAATCTTGTATTATGGTAGAACTCTGGATGAAAAGCTATTGTGCAAGAACAATTCAAGCATCACAAAAGGCATCATGGAATGATTTTAGTGAAGGCACTTTGGGCATAAGAGTCTTTAGTGAAGGAAGATAATAAATATAGAATAGTCTTCAAGCCAACAAATTCAATATCTTTATTAGAATGATGAGGTTGACCTGGTTGTAATGCACCAGTGAAATGCCATTACCAGGCAATAAAATAAGTATTTCAATTAAAAAAAAAATGCTTGGGCGAATGTATTAGTCAAATTGTTAGTATAAAATCTTTAGCCAAATTAATAGCTAAATTGTTAATCTAAATATTAAAAAATTACTCCTTTCTTCAAAAGTGCGAAATGCTTCAGTTATCTTGGGAGCGACATCTTGTGACCCATTTGTGTTCTAGATTAAGCAACAGTTTTTTCTAATATCTTTTTCTGTTCATATAATAAAAAAACTGCAGAAGTCATAATCTGAATACACACACACATAAACATGTATACACACACATACACATTAATGTGTATATTGGTGATATGGTATATTGGTGATGAGGTTAGATAGTGCTTTAGATGTCATACTAACAGCATGGAGACAAAAAATTCTTCTGCACTCTCTGCCACAAGTATTCACTGGGCAACTTTGGGCTAGTCACTAGCTTTCAGTCAAGTCTTCTCACAGGGTTGTGCTAGGGAAAACAGGAGGAAAAAGTACCCTGACTTCCTATACAAAAGATAAAATATAAAACAAGTAAAGAAGTAGCTAAATAATGTAAAGCAACCATATGTGTGTATGTAACTATTGAAAATCATAAATCAGTTTTAGTTGAAGAATCCAAAGAACAAACTGTACTGTTCTTTGAGGAATAATTTTATGACTCAGAGAAATTATACTATACTAATTTCCAAGTTACCTGGCTGAAAAGAAAAAAAGAAAAAAAAACCAGGAAGAATTACAGCTATCAGATCTGGTCTGCAGAAATCCAGATAACCACTAGATGGTAGCAAAGGCTTACAGAAACATGCAATCTGCTGTCATCTAGTGCTCAGACAGATTTTTCTATTCCAGGTTAGGTAGTACAGGAACATATAGATACAGTATATTAACTTGGTATTATGGAATACCAAGTGAAGAATAAAATGCTGATCCTAAGAAATCTGAAACCTTGTTGATTAAATCCACTCTCCAGAAAGAGTACTCAGCC